TGGAACCGGCCTGGGGTCGTGCTGTGCCGGGCGTAGCCGCAAGTCTTCAGCAACCCCGCGGTGCGGCCACCTCCTGAGCCCAGGGTCCCTGGGATGCTCGGCCTCACGCTGCCACAGCTGAGTCATCTCCCCGCAAAAGGGACTCCCTCTAACTTGCTTCACCCTAAAGGCTGGCTCACTCCTGGTGGGACTTTGGGAAGCAGGGCAGGGACGCTAATGGGCAGAGTGACCAGCTGGGCTCTTGTGTCCTGTGACAGGTGTGGATACTTCTCTGGCTGTCCTCAAACCCAGGGAGCAGATGGGATCCAGGAGTAGGAAGTCCACTCCATGAGTGGCGGGAGGGCAGCTCTTTGGACCCGAGCAGAGTCCAACAGAACCAGCAGCCAGAGGTCACCAGTGCCCTGAACCCAGGCCCCAGTGTCCACACCTGCAGGGGCAAAGACGGAAAGAGCCACCATCTCTGTTGGGAAAGTGCAGGGCGCCCCCTTGTGGGCAGGCAGAGCCTGCAGGCCAAGGAGTCCGCTGACGAACTATCTTCGTTGAAGGTATACCTACGCGTTGAAGACAGAGCAGAGCACGCTGACTCCTGGAGGCTGATTTCCCGCCAGCCCTTCTCTTGCCTCGTTTTCCTTTTTACAGTTTCGCCCTGAAAGCAGTCGATATGTGATCATTTATCCTGCTTTCTTATAAGCATTTTCCCAAACCCTTAAAAAATTCTCATAAATATTTTAGTGGCTCTGTTGTCACTCATCCAGTGGGTGTGACATCGTGTTGGATGCTTAGCTTGTTCCAGTTGTTCACTGTCATAAACAATGATGAACATCCCAGGACAGGACTCTGGTCCACAACTCTGGTCACGGTTAGGATGGTCGCTCAGGCCTGGATTTGCTTAGGGGAAGGGATGGGCTTTTTTTAAAAAAAACGTTTGAAGGCTTACTGCCAAGTTGCATGATGAAAATACAGTAGGAAACATACCTGTTCCACCCTCAGCCCAGCAGCCTCTGCGCGTGCCCCTCTCACACCTGCCCGGTGGCCCTTCACAAGAGGCGGAAGGACTGCAGAGCTGGAGATGCCCTCAGAGTTACTTGGTCCGACTGCCTGACCAGGTCATAAGTCCCCTTGGCAACTTTCCTGGTAGCTAGCTGTTCACCCAGCTTCTGCTTACCTATCCCCAGGGACAGGGAGTGCACCATCTTATGGCCAACGGCCAGAAATCTCATGAGTTGGTGGAAAGAAAACCAAAGAAGCGCCCAAATAGTGTCAGCATCATCTGCGTCTCTTCCCACGACGCTGGCCGCCTGGACGGCTCTCCCACCCCCACCCAGCCCCGCTTTCACTGCTCCTGGCACAGGGCCTCCTCCTACTCCCACGCCGGCCGCCACCGCCCACTTCCCAGGCTGCCCCCACGGCCATTCCACCCCAGCTTCGGAGGTCAGGGGGACCCCGTCCCTCGTCCCAGCTCAGTCCCCGGTCTTCTGTGTGTCCTTGAGCAAGACCCTTCACCCTCTGGTCTCCAGAGGGCCCGTCTGTGCCTGAAGCGGTGGTTTCTGAGCCCCAGAGGGCTTTGCCCAGGCTCCTGGCAGATCTGATTCCCCGGAGGGGACGTGGCAGGGGCCCGGGTCAGGAGAGCCTGGTTGGACCTGGCACCCTTCCCGGCTGAGGCGGTGGCGGCCCCTGCAGAGCCGTCAGCATAACCGGCTGTTTCATGCGAAGTTTATGAGAAGAGGCCGAGGGATCGTGTGGGGGGTAGAGAAGCCTTTGTTCTGTCAAAAAGTCCTGCTCCCTTTGGCCCTACCCTCATCTGTAGGCATAAACCACATTGGGACTGAGCCCTTCCAGGAGGCATCACCCCTGCTCGCCAGGCCGCGCCTCTCCTCTGACCTGCAGGAGGGCAGAGCCACTGGCCGGCTGTGCTGGGGGCCCCGGGGCCTGGCGGATTTCTCCTCCTGAGCACAGGCCCCAGCTTTATAATGGGGACACGCATGGGAAAGGTGAGCCAAGACTGGGCCTCACCTCCTGCTTCTCACACTGGAAACTCTTTGGCAAGTCCTGTTCCTTCCCGGGCCTCAGTTTTGCCATCTGGTAAATGGGTTGGTGATATCCCCTGCCCCACAGGGTTATGAGTAGAGGTGAATGGGGGCCTGCAGGATGCAGAGCCCTGAGCGCAAAGCCAGCACACACAGTGCTTCCTAAATGTCTGTTCTCTTATCCTTCCCCTCTGCCCTCCGCAGCCTCCTCAGTCTGGGTCCCTGCCTGAGAATTCCAGAGGGGAAGGCACCTAATGCTGCTCCTTTTTCGCTTCCCCACAGCCCAGGGGTAGCAGCCCACCTCTACCCGGGCCTCCCCCAACCCTGGGAACTTTCCTCTTACGTTTCGCACCCGTTGGTCTCAGCCCTAGCCTCCCTTCTCCTGGACAGAGCCTGCTCCCTTCCCTGGATAGGCCCCGGAGAGAATCACACTAAATCGCTGAAGGGACGGAGCACTTGCAGTGCCCAGCCACCGAGCTAAGACGTTCATGTGCATGAAAGCAGCCATTCTTCCAACAGCCCCGGGCAGGCCCATCATCACCTGGGTTTCCACATGAAGACGCCGAGGCACACAGAGGCCGAGTGATTTGCACAGTTTTAAGTGTTTTACGTGTATTAGCTCTTGTAGTCCTGGGAGCGCACTTCTGTGATAGCTCCTGTCGTTGTCCTTGTGAAGTAACCTGCTCAGGAGCACGGAGCTGGATTTGGATCCGGAGTCTGTGCTCTTAACCTGGTGCACAACCTCATAAACAGGCAGTTACCCAGGCAAACGTTACTATGGAAACAGATCATCTCATAGCTCAGTGCTTCTTAAACTCTATGGCATGGGAACCCCCTGGGCCTCGTGTTGAAATGCAGATTGTGAGTCTGTAGGTCTGAGGTGGGGCCTGCGGTTTTGCATTTCTAACGAGTCCTCGGGGTGCTGCTCAGGCCAGTCGAGGAGGGACAGGGGACAGGTGTGTGGTCACAGTGCAGGGCCTGTGTGAAAGCCTGTCTCAGGCTCCGAGCCTGCACGTGCCACGGAGGTGACACAGTGCAGGTGGCGTCGGTCTGATGGGGTGGCCACTTCGCAACTTCAGCTGATAGACGCCATAAGCATTCTAGACCAATGTGGTCATATTTCTGTGTGCAGTCTCTCATTTTTAAATATTGGGGCAACGAATTCAACCTTATAAAGCACTAAGCAGCTTGTACATGAGTGTTCACAGCAACATTGCTCATAACAGCTGAGAACTGGAAGCAACTCAGTGTCTATCATCTGATGAATGAGTGCACATAAAACATGGCATGCCCATACAATGGACTATTTTTCAGTAACAAAATGAAAGAAGTACTGACACATGCCACAATATGGATGAACCTTAAGATCATTACACTAAGTAAAGGAAGTCAGACCCAAAAGGACCATTATTGCATGATCCCACTTACATGAAATATTTAGAATAGGGAACTCTTTAGAGTCAGAGAGTAGATTAGGGGTTGCCTAGGCCTGAGTGGTGAGGAGGTGGGGGTAGAATGGGGAGTGACTGTTAATGGGTACAGGGTTTCCTTTGGGGGTGAAAAAAATGTTCTAAAATTAGCTTGTAGTGATGGTTGTATAACTGTGACTATACCACAAAACATTGACTTGTACACCTTAAATAGGTAAAATGTAGAATCATGTCTCAATAAAGCTATTTTTAAAAATGCCATGTAGGAAAAGCTAGTTTCCTTAACATATAAAGTGCAGTTACAAATCACCAAGAAAAATACCAAACCCCAGCAGGGAAAAAGATTTACAAAGGATTCGAACTAAAAGTTTGCAGCTGGGTTCTTAAATGCCTGGGAACATCTCTCTTGCTCCTCATAGAAGACATACGAGTCAAAGCTGCCTCTGAGAAGGTTGCCTTCTCATGGTCAGCAACCGATGGAAGACTGTTGGTGGAGGACGTGAAGGTCCGGGACACGCAGGGAAGGCAGTGGCAATTTGTCGTTACCTTTAAAACTTAAAAGTGCACGTCCACTTCTATTTCTAGGAATTTATTCCGAAAATGTCCTCTCTCTTTGTACACACACACACACACACACACACACACACGCACGCGCACGCGCCCGCGCACGCGCACGCACATTATTCACTGGAGCGTTGTTTGTAATAGCGGAAGAGTGGAAACCACCCAGATGCTCTGTGACTGTACTGGAACTGCAAGTGTGCTAATACTGGGCAACCGTTAGAAAACAGTAGCTCTGTTTGTCCTCATGTGGGGAAAGGTACTTGATTAGATATAGGGTGTCCCCAAAAAGGTATACACACTTTGAGTAATTAGTAATTCCAATGGGTTACATCTGAAAAGAAAGAAAAATCAATTGAGTTATTAGCTGTTAAGTGTGCATACCTTTTGGGGGACATCCTGTGTATATCTTACAATAATATGTCCAAGATACATTGTTAAGTAAAAAAAAGAAAGAGGCAGAACCAGTATAACGTCTCTAAGCGAGCGAGGGGAAGAAAGCGTGTGTGCACAGATGTTGCATATGTTTGTGAGTGCGGAGTGTGTCTTCGGGGTGGTGAGCCTCCAGGTCGGGGAGAGGGTGGCGGGGAGCGGGGGTGAGGCACTGCATGTGTACGAAGCTGCGGTGCCCATGTTGCCTCGTCAGTAACCATTAAACCACACACTGTGGGCCAAGGAGCACCTGTGTGCGGGTTCACGCGCCTGACAGCTGAGCTAAAGAAGTGACTCCTAGCACCATCAAGGGCTTCGCTCCCTTAACTGAAAAAGATGTGCCCCCCCCCGCCCCCCCCCCGTCCTCTGTCCTCTGCCCCCAGCCTTGGATTCCTGTGTGTGCTCTGGGGTGATCCTGGTGTTCTCTGGACGGGGGACAGAGTGCTTGCACATGGGGACACAGGGTATAAGCGCTGAAGAGGGGGACCCCGGGGAGCAGCATTTTGGCCTGGTGGACCCCAACCCCCTGTGTTTGCTTCCTGTCCTCCAGGCACGCCCCAAAGGCGAGGGTCTGACCCCATACCAGGGCAAAAAGCGCTGCTTCGGCGAGTACAAGTGTCCCAAGTGCAAGAGAAAATGGATGAGCGGGAACTCCTGGGCCAACATGGGGCAGGAGTGCATCAAGTGCCACATCAACGTGTACCCGCACAAGCAGGTGAGCGGGCAGGGCGGGCGGAGTGGGGTGGGGGCGGGAAGCAGGGGGCTCGGGGCTCTGAAGGGCTGAGGGAGGGTGACTTTGTCTCTCATTAGGCCTTCTTATGGCAAGGATGAGACCAGATCCCTCCAAGTTGGCTTTCTTTCCTGTCTCATCTGAGATGGGGTGAGAGAGCACTGCCCGGGGAAGGGGGAAGGGGTGGAGGGTAAGGGGCAATGAGGCCCTGAGACCACAACCCGGGTGCATTAGGGACGTTGGAACCTGGATGCTGCTGTGAGACGGGTGGGAGGGCCGCAGGATGCACAGGAAACATGCGCGTTGTGCGTTTATTCCTCCAGCCCAGTCACATACGAATGCGGGGCAGCTGCAGGGCGCCAGGCGCTGTGCACAGGGGCTAGTGGCCAAGGCACCCAGAGGCCTGGCCTGGGGGGAAGGGCAGCTGATCCAGGGAGGACCCACTCACTGCAGCTGCCAGGAGGAGGGGCCATTTACTCTGGGACCTGAGGGAGCAAAGGAAGCCAGAGCTTTTGCAAGCAGGGGACGGCCATCCTAGAAAGAGGGGGGAGGTGTAGCAGGCGCAAATGCCCTGAGGCCACAGGACTTGGGGTGCTCCAGGCCCAGAGCTCAGTGGGGGAGCAGGAGAGTGGAGTGAGAGGAAGGGCTGGGGCACCGAACGGCGGTCACCAGAGCCTTGAGGGTCACGAGAGGGGACTCCTGAGCAGCAAGGCTTCTCCCCTTTGCGATGGTTACTCTGGTTGTGTCGGATTAGTTTCGGGGTGGGGAGGGCGCTGAGAGATTGAAAATGGGAAACCATTGGGAAGTCCCACGTGAGCTGGCCGAGGTCTGAATGAGGGGGGTGGCTCCATCTGGACTCTACACAAGTGTCACCGGATTGGATATGGAAGGCGCGGGCGGGGCAGGGACCCAGAACAATCGCACTTGGGGTTTGAGCACCTGAGTGGGTGAGTGGTTGTCACCCAGGTGAGCAGCCTGGCTGGGGCGCGGGTGAACGAGGGGTTTGCAGGGGGTGGAGGCGGGAGAGTGTGTCAGAGGGAAGAAGGTTGGTGAGTTGGGCATATTTAGACAAATGGGGTAATGCATGATCCTGGGTGTCAGACTAGGTGGCAGGAAGGGAAGCCACAGGGGCCCTGATGGAGAGGTGGGGCCAGGACTGGGGGAGGCCAGGGAGCCAGGGAGCTGGACAGAGAGGAGTTGCTGCAGGGGACTGCCCAGGAGATGGTAGGAGAGAGGTCACTGTTGATGAGACCTGGGGCAATGAGGAGCCTGGCTGGTGAGTCGTCCCTGTGTCAGCTGCATCGCCAAGGGAAGTGGCGGCAGCTAGAGGCAGA